GACAGTTGGTGGCACTTTCCTAATATTGATGAATGAGTCCCAAGGCAAAGTGCTTCAGCACCGACGATGAAAGGAAACTTTATAAAGATCAAAGTTTTAACCATCAGAATAAGAAACAAATTCTAAATATGTGTGCATCTACTCATGGAGCTTTGAAACACACAAAACACCCATATTCACAGAGTCCCAGCTGCTGTCGTGAGGGGCTCCAGGTGCCGGGAGACCTCATGTTTCCCCAGCTGGACGGTGACTCCATGAGGACAGCGCCCGGGTCTGCTGTGCTGACCCCCATGTGCAGAGAGGGGACGGCCACACGTGGCTGCAGGAGGGGAGGAGGCTGCTGCCCACCCCGCCTGGGCCTCCACCAAGGCCATGTCCCTCAGCCCCACCCCAGACCCCCCAAACTGTGACTCCGGGGACCCGCCAGATGGGACCCATTATGACCTTCCAGAAAATGTCCCCTGAGTGGAAGGACTTTGATAGGGAGGCAGGGGATGTGGTTGGGGGCTGCATGGGGTGGGAACTTGGGTGACTGTCACCCGTCTGGGCACAGGGTCCCCAGGAGTGGATGTCGGTGGTGACAATTGATCTCTAAGTCCTGCCCTGGCCCTGACAGTGTCAGCCTGTGACGTTCCTCCTCTGAGGAGGGTCACGGTTCTGACCTCGCCCCCATCTTCCTGTGGGGCCTCCTCTAAGTCCTGCAGCTCTCAGTTCCCGAGAGAAGAACCCCGAGGAGCAGACTGTCCCCGGCGTCCCTGGCACCTGAGACCCGACATGCTGCTGCTACTGGCCCTGCTTTGGGGGACGGCGGGGGTGGAGGGATGGGGAGGGTACAGGCTGCAAGTGCAGAGTGTGGTGACGGTGCAGGAGGGCCTGTGTGTCCGTGTGCCCTGCTCCTTCCCCTGCCCTCTGTACCACTGGAGGGACTCTGACCCTATTCATGGCTACTGGTTCCGGGAAGGGGCCAGTGTGGAGAGGGATGCTCCCGTGGTCACAAACAACCCAGCTAGGAAAGTGCAGGAGGAGACCCGGGGCCGATTCCACCTCTTAGGGGATCTTAGGAGGAATGACTGCTCCCTGAGCATCAGAGACGCCACAATGAGGGTCGAGGGGTCATACTTTTTTCGGGTGGAGCGTGGATTGATGAAATGGAACTATGAACAAAACAAGCTGGTTGTGCAGGTGACAGGTAAGGCTCCGGCTCCAGGAGTGTCCAGAGGGGGAGGTGGTGGGCGCTGCAGGGCGGGGCAGGGCTGGGACCCCGTGCTGGGAGGGGCTGGGGGTGAAGCCTGTGGGGCTCAGGGCAGGAGCTGGACCAGAGCCTGAGTCCTCTCAGGGCCCCACGTTGGACCCTCCCTCCTGACCCTGCGTGTCCCCCTCTCCTCCCCAGCCCTGACCCACACGCCCGACATCCTCCTCCCGGAGACCCTGGAGTGTGGCCGCCCCAGCACCCTGACCTGCTCTGTGCCCTGGGCCTGTGAGCAGGGGACGCGCCCCCATATCTCCTGGGAGGGGGCTTCCGTGGCTCCCCAGGGCCCCACCATCGGCCGCTCCTCAGTGCTCACCCTCGTCCCTCAGCCCCAGGACCACGGCACCAGCCTCACCTGCCAGGTGACCTTGCCTGGGGCCGGTGTGACCACGACGAGGACCGTCCATCTCAACGTGTCCTGTGAGAGCTGGGCTGGGAATCCTGGGGTCCTGCTGGGGTCCCCAGTCCAGCGGTTGGGGTCAGGGCTGCACACGGGGTGCTGGGACCTGGGTCTTATTGGGGAATGTTAGGAGGATGCTGGGTTCCCCCTCCCCCCTTACGTGGCTCCTGGGGACAGAGGCAGCGTCCACCCAGCCCTCAGCAGTGACTTAGGGCTGCCATGTGTGTCTGCCCCAGACTCTCCTCAGAACCTGACCGTGACTGTCTTCCATGGAAACGGCTCAGGTAGGACGGGCCCTCCCTGGGCTGTGGGAGCTGGGCCTCTTCAGTCAGGGCAGGTGCGTCCTTCTCATCCTGGACTCACCTGGTCACCTGAGACCTCCTTCTGGTGACCCAGGGCCCCTTCCTCCCCTAAGACACCTTCTCACCCCCTCGGCCCACAAGGACAGGGTGACAGTCACACAGCAGAACTGGCCTCCAAGACCCTTGTCATTCGTCTCCTGAACACTCCTTCAGCCTTGTCTGTTTTTTCCCCCAAGTGTTTACCTAATTCTGAGTGGGTGATACGGTCACATGGGTGACAATTCCAAATGCACAGCAGGGTGAGTCCTCAGAGGCCTGTCCCCTCCCCAGAACCCACCAGGGTCCCCCAGGCTGCTAGAGCCTTGGTCTGTTCACCTGCAGGACCTCAGAGGTGGTTTGACATCCGTAGTGCAGCCATCCCCATGGTCCTGTGTGACTGTGTGGTGTCCCCCTGCATGGATTTACCCTGAGTCTAGATACATCTTATGCCAATGGAAAGTCATGGCGTTATTTTATCTTATCAGTAGACACATTGCAAGGAATATCTTCTATCTCCTTTCACACTTGTGTGTATGTTTGTGGGATAAATTCTTACAAATAATAAATGGGTCCTAAGTTTTCTTTAATTTTGAGAAATATGGCCAAGTGTTTCTGTATAAAGGGTGTACACGTTACATTCCCAACAGGGATTGGTCAACGTGTGTGTTTGCCTCCACTGCACTCTCCGTATGTGTCTTCCCCTCAGCAGGGCCTTTCTCTGTCCTTCCTTCCTGTCTGCAGATCTCT